TCTGTCAGAATGAATCATGCTTCGTGCTAGGGAAAAACAATGTCACCGTCCTGAAGGGGTGAAAAAATCAGTGAATCCCCAGAAGGTCATGAGAGTTTAAAACCAGACAACAACACAACTTTGAAGATTTTTAATATGCATGCATCTATGGCTGACTTTAATTTGCAGAGATTCACGGAATTCTTGAGGCTAGGGTTTTAAAAACACCAATTTCACTCTGTGCTAAAGATTATCATTGTATGCAATGGGTGTTATTCAGCGCAAACAGTTGTGGGTGAGAAGCGGTGTTTGGTGTAACAGAAGTACACAGAACAAAGATATCTGCTACTTCAAGGTGCTTGCAGTGCAAAAAAAGAAAACAGATTCACAGAAAATGAGACGGTAATGATCAACAGGCTCAGCTGTTGTTGCAGAACACAAGTGTGCTGCCTTGAAATTTTTGTATATATCAACAAGTTTTTAGATGAGATCTGAGGCAAGGTGGCTTTGTGTACATCAGTCAGGACAATTTGCCAAGCATAAAAGTGCAGGGAAGAAGGCAGTCTTTTTTTCTGTCTCTTCTGGAAAGGGTAAGTCCTGTTTCCAGCACTCTACCTGTGAATGGCTCAGTGGCACAGCCACTTCTGTGCGGATTTTTGTAAGACTTTAGTGTTCAGTTGACTCTCTAACCTAGCAGAAAACTAACATAGCTGAAAGAATGAAAAGTATTCTTCTGAGTCGGTTGGCAGAATTATTTTAATATGAAGTCAATGGGTGCTGGAGTAGTGCGAAGGATAGGGTCTATCATATAGTGGGACAGGGTAGAGTGAAGGAGACTAAGGGAAGGGGTTGTGCACCTTTGGCAGAAGAAAGCTGTAAGATCAGCTCTGTCATTTCGCACAACTCAGAAGCACAATGGGAAAGAATGTGAAGATGCTTGGTTGTTGGTATGGGCCAGCTCGATGAGTCAACATCTCAGTAATAAATGAGGTAAGTCAGGGAAGAATAGACTTCTGAGGGGTCTTAAAATTATAGCAAGTAGCTTCTCTTTGTTTTTGAGATAGAAAAGCAAAAAATTCTCAAAAGCTAGAGAGAAAGGATTAATTGGAGTGAAGAAATATCTGCAGCAAGGGTCTGAAGTGGGGTGCTTAAAAAAAAAAAAAAAAAACCAACAACAAAAAAACCAAACAACAAAAAACTTAAGTCATTGTCAACACCAACACAAGCTGTTAAGCTTGGCAATGAAATGTTAAGGCCATGGTATTTCTTCTTTTGGGAGGTCAGTCTCTGATTTTGTGCCACGTTTCTTCTGTATCTGCATTAATCTATTTTCTTCGATGCTGTTGCATGAGATTTTTTTTTGACAGGAAGATACAATAGAAGTGTAGAATCATTTGGTTGGAAAAGACCTTTAAGATAGAGTCCAACTGTAAATACAGCGCTGGGTCTGATCTTCGATTACAGGAAAGCCACATGGCTTAGCTGGTAGAATCCAGAAGTTATTTAGTCTATTTTCAAGTGCATTTTAATGTAAGGGACAGACTAGCAAGAGACTGTATCTCCATTTATGAAGTCATATTATGTTACTTAAATTCTTTTACATCTGCGACGTGAAGTTCTGTTAGGCTTGGCTACCTTGGCTTTATTCATATAAAAATGAGTCACATTTGAGTAACTAAGTACATTTTCTACTGCTTTCTAATGATGTATTTCCAGAAGAGGAAAAACAGGGTAGCTGGTCTTTCCTTGAAGTTAATACGTCTCAATTCTTTTGTTAACTTTTTTTGAAGATATTTTTTTGTAATACGGTTCTTCCAAAGTTTAAAGGAAGACTTGAGCTGACAAAGCTTGACCAACAAGGATTCTGTAATCTTAGTTCTTTCTGAGGTAGTATGCTATTAGAGGGTCTTTATTTCTTTACTATCTTGCTTTTTCTACAGCAGTAGTGTTGTTGATCTATCAAGGTGTGAGCCAGCTAACTTGCTGTATTCATATTACCAATCCAGTAGTGGAAATGTCTGCAATGTTCTCAATTTTCTCACAGTGCTGTAGATCTTATACTGGAATCCCCACATTGCTCAAATTACTTATCTGCCAGTAAAGCTGCTGGGAAATACCTGGCTGTTCTGCAGAGTACTATAAAGAGGGTTTTTGTCAAACTTTTCTGTGTCTCTAGAAATGAGGCGTTTTTTTCTCAGCAGGAGAACTAAGTGAGGAAAAGTTGCTGTACGTACAGTTTTTCATACACACATGGAGTAAAATGGGTTTAGTGCACATTTTAATTAGGTAGCCATGTTAAAAAGGTTTTCCATTGCTACAGAATTGTTAACGTGAGAAGTGGTAGCATCATCATGTCCTGGTTTCTTCACATCCAAATTGTCTGCCTTTCTGCGCAGCACACCTTGCTCATTTCTGATTTAGTGCCCACTCTTATCAGGTAATTGTGAAGAAAAATGTTGATTGCCAGTGACATACAAGAGGTTTCCTGGGCTAGTCTCGTGGTCTTCCCAGTCCATATAGTGAGCTTAGTTTGGGTAGAGGTTTATCTTGAGTATGTAGTCATCTGCACTATCAAAATTAAAACTTAAAAGCATATTTCCAGTCATTTTTGAAAATCATTGTTGCTGCTCATTCTCCAGGGAATTGAAGTAAAACATTCTGGAGAACTCTAAGGCACCTCATCTTTCTTGTGGTGTAGTGGAGTATGTTACAGGTCCAGAAATGGTGTGAGCCAGGGAAATTCCCACCCACTACCCAAGGCAGGCCAAAGTGTAGAAATCAGCCAAATTGTATTTTCAGAGAAACCAACTTATGAGTAAGTTATTTTTCTCTCCTATTGTGTTCGTTTGAAATGAAGGGGTTTGATGTTAACTATTTGTAGTGCCATAACTATCCCAACCTACTTGTTTTCAGTGTTTCTCTTGTTGTCTTGTTGCTGTGGCTTGTGATACTGCAAACCCCTCAAACTGAGTTAAGCCCTGGAAAAGTGAACTACGCAGAGGAATCCTAAACTTGGGGTGGATCTAGTAAGATTTTCACTGACTCTAATTTCTGTGATCGTATCAAAGTGGTTGTTGGTTGAGTTTGTTTTGGGTTTGTTTTTTTTTCTTTTTTGGCTGGGTTGGAGGGGGTTCAAAGAGATACATGCTCACGTTCCAATGAAATTCAAAGTTACTGCATGTTTCGTTTCACATTTAGGAGCCTGTCTTGTCTTCCCCAAACCTTGCTGATCCTTTGTCTGAAAAAAAATCACAATTGTGTGTGGTGTGGCAGTAGCATGTCTGTACATGGGCTACAGTTTTATTATAAGCAGTGCAGTCAATACAATCAATTCACCTTAACCCTTGAGCGGGCATCTTGCAGCTAGTCAAGTTAACTGTTTTCCACTTTGTTGGCTGATAAATGAGATCTCCATGGACTACAATGAGTTTACAGGTTTCCACACCTTAATTCAGGTGCCTACCTGTAGATGTATTAAATCTTTAAATACTGTCTTGTATTCCTGATGGTAGTGCAAGTACAGGGTCTTGTCCTTCCAAATATGTTCTGCATGTATCCCAGTGAGATTGCTAGTTACGTCTGCTTTTTCAAATTTGTTGCTTTTTAAAAGTTTTTAAACTATATAAGTTGATTAAAAAAAAAAAACTCAGCTTGGTTTGTAGAGAGGTGGTAAAGAAGGTGCTTTCTTTACATCTCTGACACTTAATTTCCTTTGTATAATGAAAAATATACAAATATCCTTTCAGGACGAACAGGGAAATAAAAGACTATGTGTATGCCACATATTCAGCTGTAGCTGTTCATACTGTGGTAGCAAGCAAGTTTCTTTTACTGAAGTTAGTCTGAGGCACCACACACAAAACCCTTCTCTTTGCTGCTTTCCAGATGTTGGTGTTCGGACTTTTCAGGCTTTTTCTAAAGACTTCATTTTATGTAACTCAATTTTTTATTTTTTTGGTAATGTAATACTTCTAACAGTTCACATCTCCAGCATAGCCTTGGTATTTAATTTATTTCAAACTACAGGGACGTTGGTAGCATTGTTGTAGTGCCTATCACACAGTGTCTAAGCCAAGACTCCATGAGAACTCCCTTTGAAAACTGTCCTGCTGCAATACTGTCATGTGCAGACCTTACTGCAGGTTGTGTTACAGGAGCGCTGCGTGCAGCTTTCTGTGCCCAGCCGCACTTTGTGCTGCTTGTCCCACTCTGCCTCAACTCCCAGCCTTATTCCCAAAGGCGGGGCAATACTGGCTCTTCTCACCGTGTTTGGTAGTCCGTTTCCCAGCAGAATGCAGGGTCATCAACTGGTGTCTGAATCCTGGTTTGGGGGGTTTGTTGGGGTTTTTCTGTTGGGATGGTGGACCCTCAGGAGAGGCATTCCTCCTGAGGGGAGGAGGAGATTCATTCCTAGAATGAATTCACTCTTGGTCCAGGAGAAGGCATTCCCAGTCCCCCTACTTACCTTGCGGTTCACTTCCCGTGTCACTGGAAAGTCGTAGCCCTCTGGTAAGTTTAGGGTGAATGTGGACAGATACTAATATGGAGAGCAGAAGAGAGTCCTGTCTTCTCAAAATGCCACCAACTCTCTGTCTGGAGGGAAAAAAGAAGTCATGTGGTATGGCAGTAACATGCTATCTTTTTACTGCTGTCTTCTAAGTTTACTTCTTATCTTTAAATTAGAAGGGGATTAAGGATAAAGCAGTTCAGTTATGAGATGTTAGGACTGGAGTTTCAGACACTAAGTGGGTTTCTTTGTTAACTGTAAATCTAAGATACTGATTAAAGTCTACTTTAAAAGAGGAATCTCTCAATTTCATGGGCTTTAGCATTTATTCTAGAGAACTTTGGTTCTAAGCATAAATCAAATTGATGCTTCTTGAGGCAAAAGTGATCTGCATCCTTAATTAAGACCGGGAGAGTGCCTGTTGTATCTAGGAAACTGTGTGTTGAATGCATGTTTAGATTTTTGATATTTTTTTTTGCAATTGTGTCTGATGATAACCTGTTTTCTTTTGCAGAACCCTGTGATAATATGAGAGAGATTCTCCAAAATGTGGCCAAATTACAAGGTGTTTCAAATATGAGAAAACTAGGTCACTTGAATAATTTTACTAAGGTAAGAGCTCAAATAGTGTCACTGAATAAGTGATCAAACAGGTAAAATATTTTGTATGTACTCTACCAGACATTGGCTGGGAGATTCATGACACAGCTTAATAGCATGGAACAGTACTTGAAATCTACATACTGTAGGAGAGGAAAGGAACAAACATGTGGCAAAGAAATATGTGAATGCAGGGTTTTGCTGAAGTTTGTCTACATGTCCTGCTGGCTGAACATTTCTAGTATTTTAGTGCTTAGAGGCCTGCAGTATTTCCCAATTGATGGGTTAAGTTGCACCAATAGAGCTATAGGTTGGTTCATGCTCCACAGAATTGAATCAAAAATGTGAAATGCCAGGCTCTCTGGATGTAAACTGACGAAGTATGGTGAGGGGGAAGACTTTGAGCTTGATATGTAGTGATTTGGACACTAATAGAATAGTAACCCTCAACTTTCACTGCAGTTTTCATAGTGAAAAACATTTAAAGGGATGATTTCTAGAAATGGTCTGCATTGCTGATTTTTTTTTAGGTACTTTTTCCAAATATATGCTTCTAAATCATGGGAATGTGACAGGTACTTGCTTGAAAATGACAGATGTGTTGGAAGCTGTCATTGTGAGCTGACTGGAGGCAAGAATTAAAAACTTAATGCAGTATTAGCGTGTAGGCTGAAGAAAGAGTCTATGAAAGGCCTTCAGAAGCACAGCAAGTACCACTTTTTGAGTGGATGAGGAACATGTGGAGGGGAGTAGAGAGGACTGATAGGAGGTGGGCAGGGAGTTAGGAAGAGGGTTTGTTGTAGCATACTAAAGGTTGTGGTTGGACCAGCATTCCATTTGTCAAGGCAAGGGAAAAGTGCATTGCAGTTAGTGAGCTAGGAGACATTGGAGCTTCAGTGTAAGTCTTACACGAATGGATGGGCTGATACTCAGAACGAGCTGGTAAGTTGTACACCTTTCTCATAGAGTGCCATAGACAGGGCGACATGCCTGAAGATGAACCCCAAATTCCTGTGATGGACGACAGATAGTGCAATCAGTAGCCATGAAACAAGGTAGTAGTGGAGAATTTTGTTGGTAAAGTAAGGTTAAATTATCGTTGTTGTAGATGAGGTGGTGACAAATTATTGAGTAAGATAACCAGGAGGCTACTTGACAGTTTTGAGACAATCTCAAGTGTAAGAACAAATGCTCAGGGGCAGGTTTGGGGGACAGTTAATATGAGAAGGACAAATGTGCACGATAGTCTTCAAAATAGGCATGCTTCTTGTCTGTTAAAAGCATTTCCTGTAAGTTTCAACAGCATTTAAGTGGTTGAGTATGGGAGTTAGCAGGACGGTGAATACTGAGAACAAAATCACAATAGCAAATAAACTTATCTTCTAGTGCATTAATAACAAATTTGTGAATGCTGAGTAAAATCTGAGTTGGTTCAGAGCAAATGTAGGTGCATAGCATTCACTGAGGAATTGAAGTTACACTGAAATCTTTTCTTTGGGTCATTGCCTTATTTTGACTGTGAGACATCCACCATTCACAAAATGCTACTGTTTTTACTGAGATTCCAAACTGTGTTGCAAGAAGGTTCTTTATTCTGCTAGGAAAGACCAGTGTGTAGCTGCATCTCCCTTTTGTGCTAATCTGGAAACTTCTAAATGTGAGTGCTTCCAAATTCTCTGGTTGCCTTAAAATTAAAGAGATGGATTAGGTTTGCAGACACGGGATTCCTAGTGTAAAGTCAGTACTTGAAGCTGTGGATCGTAAACCACTGTTGATTTTACTATTGAAAAATCAGATGTTAAGCACCTATAAATGTAGCAAATTAGTAAATACGCATACTGTAGTTAAAGGACAACCCAAAATTTCTTTTTAAAGATAGTTTTGAGTAATTCCATAATTTAGTATTTGAAGAACTTGATCTTTATGCTTACTTGGTGTTAAAATTGGAAAATACTTACAAAACCACACGGACAGTTTTCATAAATTAGACTTAAGACTGGCAAGAAATGATGAATTTGTGAAAAGCAATTTGCTAAAATTCAATACGACTTTTGAAGACAGAGACTGTAGTTCATGACGTGGTTTTGATCCTGAATCAGAGTGACCCTGTTTAAGGGAATCATCCTACTCTAATATTTAGCACTTGTTCTTATACTCATCTCTGTGGAATATCTGCTTTATAAATTTATAACTTCTACATTTGATTTTGAAAACTCTTCTGATTTTTTTCTTTGAACTGTAAGTGCAGTTAACAAAAATAGAATAAAAGTTGCAAATGTATTGTGTTGTCTGCCTTGTGGTTGGAACAGTTCTGTGTTTTTCATTCCAGTGGTTAAGAGTGAAAGCCTGGAGCTTGGGGGAGATGGTTTTATTTCCTTTTTGCACTCTGGTCTTCTACCATGAATTGATACAGTCTCAGTTCCCTCTTTGTGAGGAATGCGGGGAAGATAGATGTGCTAAAAGCTGAGCATGTTTGTAGCCTGTCTTGGAATTATATTAAAGATGAACTTGATTTGTCTGTAAATTCTTGCATTTTATGGTCCATTTTTGGAAGACTGCTGGTTATCTAGTACAGGGATAGGGAGTGGACTTTTGAAATTTTTTTATAGCATACTTCTGATAAAATACAGAAAAACTGTAAAATTTAACTCTCCTGCTTGGAGTATTACTATACTTAAAATGTCAGCACTAGTCTAAGCAGTTGCTCCCCACTGGTCCAGATTTTTCCTTCAAAGACTGGGCAAATCTCACATTTGGAAGAAATAATGTTCTACTTTTTGGTCGGGGGAAGCGAAATGTTTGTGTTTGTGTGGAAACAAGTAATGTAAGTTAACATGGACTTTCCTGACAGAGGTCATGGTAGACGTTAAGTTTTATATTAATTTCAAGATATCTGAGGTATGTTAGGATCAGATTTCTTTCCTTGAAAGAGGACTAGATTTTTAAGGTGGGGTTTGTTCCTCACACCCCCTTTATTGAGGGAGAAGGGAAGTGATAGCCCTTCAAAAATTACTGAACTAGAACTGGACTCCGGGATTTTATGCAGAAGTTAAATAACTTTAATATTTAAATAATGGTGGTCAGCGGTCAACAGGATTTGATACAGTATCATTCTTGCAGATAGGTAGGGTGGATATTTTATGTGAAGCTTGCATGCCTAAGAGATGTAACTCCCTTTTCATTTGTCTTTCCCTTCAAGAGTGTTAACTAGTGATGTTCAAGTCCCCACAGCACTCATGCTTACTGTGAAAAGTACACTGTATACATATTTTACAAAAACTTGTATTTTTTTTATCAGCTTTTAGCTAGTAGTAAAAACCTTAATGTTCATGTTCTTGGCTCTTTGGCTGCAGAACATGGGTTGTTCTTGCCCAACAGGTGCTGTTAAGTTTTCTGCTCCAAGAAATTAACATTCCCACTCTGGTGATACTCAGGCTGTGGAAGGGTACGTTTAGTTCTGAATTACAGCAGTGGCAGACTTTGATTCTCCTCATCAGTTGTTCATCACCTGATAAGTGAAGCTGCAGTTTTGTGGGCAGAAATGTTCATTAAGTACTCCTAATCTGTATTAGACAAAAATAATCTTGTTCCTTTCAAGCCACCTGTATCACTATTTAAGCTAACCTGAATTTTAACCTGAAAACTGTTTGAGGATTTGACCTCAGTCAAATGGTCAGTGACACTTTCAGTTGTCACAGCAGGTTCACAAGCATGGTGTGTGCCTTTGGCTTTGGTAAACTGAGTAGGATTACCCATCTTTCATTTATATGGCCAGCTACATAAAGCAAGCACTTTGAAGTTTCCTAACTTCTGCTGATTAATACAAAAACATCATGGTTACTTCTTTGGGGTTTTCCCCACCCCCATGAGAAGTAGTAAGTGGTAAATTACTGAAAACCAGAAGGAACTGTACAATTGCGTTTACTTAGTGGAAAATATCTTCTGAAGTATTTATTTAGAATCCTTTATTATAGAAAGATTAGGGATTATTGTAGAAGGATTAGGATAGGGATTTCTATTTTTCATTCAAAAAGAAAGGTGCTTCTTTAAGGACAAAATGAAACTAAATTCATTTTAGCTTAGTTAGCAATTGAATAACATCGGTGATATGGAAAATTATATTTTCAATCCGCTCAAAGCGAATTCTGTCATTACTTAATGAGGTTCTACTATTCTGCTCTATGTATCTGCTAGCTTTTGACCATGCTGCTAACTTCTAGTAGGATATGGATTGAGTGTGGGGTTACAGAGTCTTTCATGGATTCCGTGTCTCTTTGATTCATAGTCCGTCATTTTAGAGTCTCATTTGTCCTTTGCAAAACCCAAGTATCTTACAATAAGAATGCAGTATTGACTGACTGTAACGTTCATCCAAGTAGCTAAACCACTATGGGTGAACCTTGAAATCTCATGATGAAGTATGTAGCAGCTAGGAAAAGAACATCTGCTTAGGGGCATTCAGCTGTGGAACAAACCTGGAAAGCTAAGGGGTCTAAATCCAGAGTCTGCAATTTCAGTAGGGACTTATCTTAAGACTAGGATCTAATAAGTAGTCTCCTCATAAATATTGAACCACCTCATAAGTGATGGTTCAAACTGTATTTCCAGAATTACAGCACAATAATTACATTTCAGATGCATAGAATAATATCATACTTTTACCTTGTAATTGCTATGACTATTCTGTTAAACATAAATTTCAATGGTCTCAGTGTGCACTCAACTTGTGTATGCTGTTGACCTCCTGCGGTTTTGTTGTTTTGAGCTACTGTTTCCAAGTCATGTTGATGTGTTACTCATATTGCTATGACTCATCCAAGTAGCATGAAAAACTCATAGCTGACAGTAAACATGAAAAAAACCTTCACTGTAAGTTAGTCACTGCCTGGCCTAGCATAAATACCATTTTGTCCTCATATTAAATCATATGGTCAAAGAGTCTGTGCTATTCCCATTCATTGACTATTATATCACAAATTTTGAATTTTAGAGTTATTGGCAGTTTTAACAAT